AAGAATAATAATACGGCGGGAAGGGCGGGGCCCCGCGGGGGGCGGGGCCGCGCGGCGCTGAGGGCGCTCGGGCGGAGCGGGCGGCGCGGGTCGCGGGATCCGGGAATAGCGGCGGAAAAGGGGGATCGTCCATGGCCGCCTCCTGGCCCTGCCCGGCCATCCCACCCTGAGAGCCGTGTCCAAATGCTCCCGGAGCTCTGGCGGCTCGGCGCCGTGCCCATTTCCTGGGGAGCCTGTGCCGGACCCCCCTGTGGTGGAAGGGCCTTTCCCTGATTCCCCACCTGAACGTGCCCTGACACAGCTCCGCTCATTCCCTGGCTCCTGGTGACCAGAGCAGGGATCGGAGCTGCCCTCGGGAGGAAGCACGTGAGGTGAAATCCCTAATTATTGACTGGGAACGAGCTCCAGCTCCATAGGAGCAGAATCCGGAATTCCCGGAGCCCAAAGTGCTGGAAAGGCCTGGAGCTCCGGGACAGAGCCGGGCTGTGGCTCTGTCACCTCCAGCCCTTCCCTGTGCCATCGGAGATGCCCAAAAAATTATCCCATGGGGACTCCACGTGTTCCCTGGTTCTCATCCCTACCAATCCAAGACCTGTCTCTTCCCAGTTAAAAAAACACCAACAACAAAAACCCCACCCCGAGGTCATCAATAAAATATTGATGTTCTCCCCATGCTGTTCCTTATTCTCTTCCCTATGGAAAAGCGCTGTGGCTGACCCTGGAAAATGGGAACGCTGTTGTACGCCAGGCGCTGTGAACACAAGGTGGCAGGATTAAAAAGCACATTTTAAATAGAGTTACGTCCCAGAGTGTGGTGATACCAAACCCGTTTCGTGGAGCACGAATAAAGTGTTGGAAATAGCCAGGAGAGGAGCTGCAATGTTCCCCTGTACAGCCAGAAACCAGGATTATATTCCCAGTGAAATGACAATAAAAGCTCAGAAATGAAATAAATTCAAACCATTGAGAATTAGAAGAAATAAAGCAAAAATGGGGCTGATTAGCTTAAGATCTTCCTTGTGCAAAACTATGGGGATTTGTGAAGGAATTTCAATGAGTAGAGATGGGACCTCTGAGTTTTTTAGGTGATGTGGTTTATTTTTCTTCTACTCAGGCAGGAAGGGTGAGTTGGGCTCACATCTTCACTGCATGGCTCAGAAGGTCACAGGACCCTCAGTTACCAGACTTTTTAAGGATGTATTGACCAATAAAGCACTGCCAACAAGGGTATTTATGCTTTTGACCCAATCATTAAATATTTTGTCTTATGGACTCGTGTGTAAACTTTCTTAGCCAATCATGTTATGGCACACAAACCTACACACTGCATTCTAAACTCCTTGTTACCTTTGTAAATACTTCTGGTTTTTCTATATTTGAAACTCTAGAACTCTAAACTTTCTTCTGCTTTACTTTAAATCCACATTCTCACTTCTAGCACCTGAGGTTTGGGAGCCTTTTCCAAAGTCTCAGACCAAATCCTGGATTTAATTCTGAAATTTGGCTTACAAGCCCAAAGTTCTGAGAGTTCCCTACATTTCAGATTCCAACACAAAACCATTCCTGATGAATTCAGGTGATGAAGAATACAAATGCTCCAAACAAAATGGAATTCACAGGGAAATTCTTAGTGGGCATTAGATTTCGGCAGAGCTAGAGTCAAGAAAACACTCAGAAACAAAACGTATTTATCCTTTAAATTAATAAAATTAATTACGTTTGCCAGAAACAAAAATAACTCATTGCAGGCTTGGTGGGATTAGAACAGAGGTAGCTTTAATGCTGCTTCAGGTAAAAAAACATGTGGAGGAGGATTTAAAATCAGCAATTTCAGCTAGAACAGTCTTAAAAGATTTCAGTTCAGCCATTTCAACTAGAACAGTCTTAAAGGATTTTAAATTCAGCAATTTCAGCTAGGACAGTCTGAAAGGATTTTAAATTCAGCAATTTCAACTAGGACAGTCTGAAAGGATTTTAAATTCAGCAATTTCAGCTAGAACAGTCTCAAACCCGTGTAAACAAGGTCCAGCACCTCGGTGGTGTCTTGTGAACATGCTCGGTGAGAAGTTCCTCCTGCTGCTTCCTCTCACCACTTTTATTCTCTTTACCAAGTCATTCCTTTAATTCTTGTGAAGGACTTCATTCTGTGCATGAGGAAACCCTGACAGAATCCATGGATCTGACAAGAAAATGGAAGTCTGGATCCAGCTGGTCCTGTGCTCTCTGTGCTGCTTCCCAATCTTCACCTGGTGCCTGCCAGGCCATCCACAAGATGAATTTTTGTATTTTAAAAATCACCTTACATTGAAGGCCCTTCCAGTTCAAGCAAACCAGTTCATTAAAAACAAAAAAGAATAATAATAATAATAATGTGTAGATAACAGGGGGGAAAAGCAACAGTCTAAAAAATAAATACGTGAAAATCAAGGGAAATAAGGAGAGAAGAACCTGATAAGTTTAAAAATAATCAGGACAGGCACACAAAAAGTTTCTTCAAGTGGTGCAAGAAATGAGGATAAAGAGCAGTTGATATTAAAAAACAATGTAAAGTCTTTGGTAGCAATGAATTCTTCCAATTTTTACAGTACTTGTATTCTAAAAATAATTCTCTATTATCCATGTAAGTATATTTTATAATTTATTCCCTAGTGTGCTTTGTTACCGAAACATAGAAAAGCCAAAGAGAAAAATTCAGAGAGATAAAAAAACGCCTGAAAAATTCAGGACTGTGTTGAGTGTAAAGGCCCTTTTTGCCTGGCAGTCCTGCTCACATGATGCCAAATTTCCCCGCCAGGAAGCCGCCCTTGCCCTGGGCCGTGCCGTTTTTGGCTTGGGCGGGCGAGTCCAGGGTGGAGTAGCGGATCTGGAACCCGCCCGCGGTCACCGAGGCGTCCGTCAGGAACTTCAGCGTCATCACGTTCCCTGCGCCGGGAAAACAGGATTGTGGGGTTGGGGGGCAGAAAAATGGGGGTTCACATGGATTTGAGGGGGGCTTTTAATTTTTTCACGTCTATTTTTTGGTATTTTTAATTTTTTTTCACATTTATTGTGGGTTTTCAGTTTTTTCCAGATATATTTTTGGGGGTTTATCTTTTTTCAGATACAATTTTGGAGGTTTACTTTTTTTTTTTCGGATATGTTTTTTGGGTTTTTAACTTTTTCAGATGTATTTTTTGGGGTTTTAACTTTCTCAGATGTATTTTTTGGTTTTTAAGGTTTTTTTCAGATGTATTTTTTTTTAATTTTGAGGTTTTTTTCAGATATATTTTTTGGGTTTTTAAGTTCTTTTTTAGGGAACACTTCCCTGATTTACATTTGTTTCAAAGTAATTAATTGGCTTTTTCATTTCCCACAAAGAGTGCAAATTAATTACCTGTGCTAATGATGTCATCTGGCAACTCATCTCCACAAAACCTGGAAAAAAAGGAATATAGCCATATAACATAACATAATATAATATGATATGATATAATATAATTAATAGAATATAATGTAAGCAATATAATATAGTATAGTAAGAAATATAATAATATAATAGCTATAACAGATATAATATAATATAATATAATATAATATAATATAATATAATATAATATGATATAATATGATATAATATGATATAATATAATATAATATAATATAATACGATATAATACGATATAATATAATATAATATAATGTAATATAATATATATGCCAAATGATACATAATGTATGGTATATTATAATATAGTACATGTTATAAATAATATATATACTATAGTATACTATATACTATAGACTATCGACTATAGACTTGATATGATACATATTATATATTATATATTATATTATATATTATATGTTATATGTTATATGTTATATGTTAATGTTATATGTTATGTATTATGTATTATGTATTATGTATTATATTATATATTATACATTTATGAAGTAAATCTTAAAATTTACAATTTCTAAACAGCGTTCTTCTAAAGGGTTGGCCAAATGAGCCCTAAATTTGCATATCAAATTGGCGTTACCTGCCCACAAAGCCGTTGACGTCGTCGTAGCTGTCGTAGACCTCGAGGAAGTCAGCCAGGCAGGCAGTGTCATCCTCCACGTCAAACTCCAGGAACTGCAGGTGGATCCTCTGCCCGTACCTGACCCGGATGTGCCAGTAGCAGACCTGCTGGTTCTCGTACTCGTTGGGGTAGCCTGGCGACTTGAAAACGTGTTTGGAGTCCGTGAAGACTCCACCACACTCTTTTCCTAGCGGGGAGATAAAAGCAGGGAGAGTTGGAGTTTTAATTCTGGCCGTGGTTTGAATCTTCAAGCACTTGGAGCTGGGGATCTGTAGGGAATCACACAGGGACGTCCAGGGTGATAAAAATTCTTGTGGATGGGCTTAGCAGCTGCTCTGCAGGCCAAACAATGGAGTTAGCAGAAGAAGAAATTGATAAAATATGAATTTATCCACAGCACAGAAGAAAGCAAGGAAACTGATGAAATAGACACATAAGGGATACTTGCAGCCTTAGTGAGCAGCATTCATGCCTTCAAAACTTGTTGTAAACTCCTGCCAATTCATTATTGACATTAATTGCTTTGTACCAATAAAATACAGTCCAGTTTGGTCATGAATGAATAAGCTGTTGCTTTGTCCAATTAATATAATGAGCTATTTTGATGTAACTAATAGCTTGGTGTATCCTATCTCCACCTGTCAGGGCTGGGGCAGTTCTCCTCTGCTCATTGGGCAGTTTTTCTTTATCTCTGGGGTTTCTTTTCTTTTTTTGTATTATTGCATTTGTATTTTTAGTTTTCCTAGTAAAGAACTGTTATTCCTATTCCCATATCATTGCCTGAGAGCCCCTTAATTTCAAAATTACAATAATTCGGGGGAAGGGGATTTACATTTTCCATTTCAGGGGGGGCTCCTGCCTTAGCAGATACCTGTCTTTTCAAACTTAGACACTCAGATTTTGGAAGGAGATATTTTGGAAGCAAGAGGCATGATCCCAACCTCACTGAATTCACAGGAAAAGCTTTCATTGCCTTCAGTGTGTTTGGGGCCAGAGCTGTGTTTTATGTGAAAGGCATTTGGGATTTCTGGCTCTCTCAAGCTTTACAGCTGTACTAGCAAGTCACACTGACACTCAGATTCATCCTTTCCTCTTCAAAAACCCCTTGCAAGCGTTTCTCAAACAAAAACCAGCTCGTGATCACAGACCTGCTGTTGTACTCCTGCTGTTCCTGCTGCTCCACATTCCCTTTGGGATAAAACCACTCCTGCTTTGATCCAGTGGCATTTGGACTTCGCCAGCTCCCTGCCAGCGGGGCTGACCAAACTGGGAATTCCTGCCTGAATTTAGGATTTATCCCAGTTTAGAGCTGGGGAGAGGGAGGTGCTGTGTCAGGGTATGCAGGGCACAGGAATTAGGAGCACTAAGATAGATTAACCCCTTAATCCCCTGAGTTTGTACAGTGTCCATGAGCCCAGAACTTCCCAGAGTTTGTACATTGTCCATGAGTCCAGAACTTCCCAGCTCAGTCCACTGCAGCACCTGGAGAGCTCAGGAGCTGCAACACAAGAAAGACCTGGAGCTGCTGGAGAATGTCCAGAGGAGGTCAGGGAGATGCTCCCAGGACTGGAACCTTCTGGAGCCAGGCTGGGAGAGCTGGGAATGCTCCCCTGGAGAAGGGAAGGCTCCAGGCAGAGCTCAGAGCCCCTGGCAGGGCCTGAAGGGGCTCCAGGAGAGCTGCAGAGGGACTGGGGACAAGGATGGAGGGACAGGAGCCAGGGAATGGCTCCCACTGCCAGAGGGCAGGGATGGGTGGGACATTGGGAACTGGGAATTCCTGGCTGGGCTGGGATTGCCAGAGCAGCTGGGGCTGCCCCTGGATCCCTGGCAGTGCCCAAGGTTAGGCTGGAGTAGACTGGGACAGTGGGAGTGTCCCTGCCATGGCAGGGCTGGCACTGGATGGGCTTTAAGGTCCCTTCCAACCCAGCCCATTCCATGATTCCATGATTCCATCATCCCTGCTAGATGGGATGAACACTTCAATCACCCCAACAGTTCCACAAGTTCCTCTCGGCCTCTTTGACCTCCTGGAGCAGAGCACAGGCTCAGCTGTGTCAGGGATTTGTCCCTGTCCTGCCTGCAGACAGCCCAGCCAGGCTCCACAGCCCCTGGACGCCCATCCCTGCAGGCTGCAGGCTCGTGGCTCTGCACTTTTGGCAGCTCTGGTTTCCTTTTGGGCTCTGACCAAACCGGAGAGCAGCTCCCCGTGGCCCAGAGCAGACAAAGGAACAGTCCCACGCCGAAATTCCGAGGGCAGGAGTCTCTCTGCAGCTCTGTGTGAGCGTGTGGAACATCTGGGGAGGGCCCCCACCCCACAGAGCTATTTGATGAACATAAACAAGCCCCAGCCCTGGGAGCACAAACAAAATGTGCACAGCTGTGCAGACGTCATGGCCCAGCCTGAGCCCGGCTCTGCCAGGCCGGGGAGCAGCCCAGGGCCAAGCTGAGCTTTGCTGCCCTTCCTGGTGCCACATCTGCCCTGTCCCTGCTGGCTGGAGGGACACCAAGGCACCAGTGGCCACGTGGCTGTTGCAGTCACCTGCAGAGCAGCGGGCAGGGCATGGGGAGATGTCTCTGCTGGGGTTCTTGTCAGTCGTGCTGGAACTCTGATCTGCTCTGGAGATCCACTTCTCCCCCTCTAATACACACAGAGCACTGCTGGTGGGAGTTTCACCCAGAGAATCGTAGAATTACAGGATGGTTTGGATGGAAAGGGACATTAAAACTCATCCCATCCACCCCTGCCACGGCAGGGACATCTCCCACTGTCCCAAGCCCTGTCCAACCTGACCTGGGACACTGCGCCATCCACCCCTGCCATGGCAGGGACATCTCCCACTGTCCCAAGCCCTGCCCAACCTGACCTGGGACACTGCCAGGGATCCAGGGCACTCTGTGCCAGGAAACAATTCCTCCCTAGGAATTCCTCCCAGTTCCTCCCTAGGACAATCCTCCTAAGAATGCCAGTCCCAGGCAGGGCATTCATTTTCAAAGCTGTTCCATCTCAGACCAAAAAAAAAAGGTTTAACCCTAAATTTAGCCTGTTGCAGGCAGAATACCTCAGATTATGGGCAGAAAGCCCTCAGATTATTCAGATAAATGGTGGGCTAAATGCAGAAGAGGACAGAAGAGGACAGAAGAGGACAGAAGGACAGCCCTGGGTTGCTCCTCACCGTTGGGGTTGTAGCAGTAGGCGTCCCACCTCTCGCTCTTGTTGAGGCGAATTCCATAATCAACAATCCCAGTCTTGCCAAAGCCACAGTTGGCTCCAGCTTTTACTATGGGGTAGCCAACCCTGCCCTTGGCCATCCAGCCAGCAGCACACACGTGGAAACCTGCAGCAGAGGGAAAACGAGTCAGAAAATGATCAGTGCTGGGCTGCTTCTATTGCACCAAGTCTTTCTCAATCACTTGGGTGTAATTGGCCTGAGAGAAATTGAGCTACATGGGAGAGGAGGACGTTGAGAGGATAATTTTAAATACAGAGGGTAAAATTGAATTGTGTTCTCCATAATGTGATTAGTGGTTCTTCATCTGAAGCCCCAAATCAAATGCAGACGGACTGCACAGTCAGGTTTAAGTGCTCTACCAGCACTTGTAATCAAATTGTCCATTGGATGAGTTTTCCAAGGGTGTTCTCTGTTTCCCTTTTGAAGTCAGACAAATTTACTCAATCCCATCTCAAGGGTTCTCAGCATTAAGTTCTAAAAATAAATAAAATACTACGGACAGCTAAAATCCCCAAGCATTTGCTTAAAACACTTTCAATTTAAATTTAAATACCTGAAATGCCTCAAGGATTTCTTGCCAAACAAAAAGATCCCCTTAATGCATTTTGTGGCTGAGAACTTAACACCAATAGCCAAAGAATGCAATGTTGTAGAGACCCATCCAATGTTTTCGTGGAGAGGAACTGGAACATATTTGTGGCATCTTAGGGCTCTGAGCTCCTCAGAAGAAACAAAAGTGCCCTTTTCACATGTGCTGGTGCTGGGAGCCAGCTTCTGACTCAACAGCACAGTGAAAAAATGTCTGGAGTGGAGGATATTTTCCATTGTTTTCCCAGACTCTGAATGAATGAAGAACTTCTTAGGAATCAGCTGGAAATGCAGGGGAGGGCTCACTCAGCTCCACTTTTCACTCCAAGCACAGAACTCATTCCCTTGCAGACAAAATATCTTGATGGAAATCAAAGTGATTGGAGAGAGTCCAGAGGACGTCAGGGAGATGCTCCCAGGGTTGGAGCCCCTCTGGGGCAGGCTGGAAGAGCTGGGAATGCTCCCCTGGAGAAGGGAAGGCTCCAGGCAGAGCTCAGAGCCCCTGGCAGGGCCTGAAGGGGCTCCAGGAGAGCTGCAGAGGGACTGGGGACAAGGATGGAGGGACAGGAGCCAGGGAATGGCTCCCACTGCCAGGGGCAGGGATGGGTGGGACATTGGGAACTGGGAATTCCTGGCTGGGAAAGTGGTGCAGCCCTGGCAGAGAGAAGCTCTGGAGTGAGTCCTGAGGAGGCCACAGAGATGCTCCAAGAACTGGAGATTCTCTCTGGAGACAAAATGCAGCAAAATAATTGTTCCAAAGGTCTCCTTTTCTTACCCCTCCCTGCCTTCTCTCCACAGTGTCTCCCAAATCCTGATGCTGGGCCAGAGCAGCACACAGAATTTTGGGTGATGTCTGGAGAGGAGAAGGCTCCAGGGACGTCAGCCCTCAGCAGCCCCCACAGCCCTGCAGGGCCGGCTGCTCCTCAGGAAAAGTGCCCAGAGTCCGGCAGCGCGGCTCAGGGATGCAGCGCCACGTTCCGCTGAGAAAAGCAGGGCCCAGTGCTTAATTCCTCCCAAGAATGTTTCTGAGATTCACGTTCTCTGAGCCTCAGAGAAGGGAAAAACGATTCTTATCACTTGCTGTGTTTGTGCAAAAGCAGAATGCAGTATGGAGATTGTGTACCCAGATTGTTTACCCAGAGTGATGGTGTTTTGTTTCCTTGGCCTATCCTGTGTGTGTGGGGACTGTCGGGACAGTCACAAAATTCAGTGCAGGGTTGAGTGCTTGGCACATTCAGTTTTAGATGTATAGAAAAATAGAGTGTAATAAAGTAATTAATTAGCCTTCTGTATCCTCCTCATCATTCCTCCATCGTCGGGGCCTTCTCAGCTCAGCCATACAGGGACTCTCATTCCCAGTGTTGTCTCATTTTAATAGTCACTGACACAATAATCTCTTTGAGTTAGTCTTATGAGCTCTTGGAGAAATGTGTCCCACCTGAGATGGCTCAGCTACTTCACATGGCACAAAATTAGTAGGGTGGTTTCTGTGGTAGTGTTGGAAACAGAAAGGTTTTAATAAAAGGCAAAATAACAAAGCTCTTTACAGGGAAAACCTGAGCCAGGGACAAGAGGCCCTTACTCCTGGTAAAACACCCCACAAAAGCAATTAGTTCTTATGTTCTCTTCTTTTTCTAGTGAATTGCTTAGGTGAGACTTTTTGCCTTCTGTCTAATTAGCTATCCATAAGTTTGAAGTGAAGTCCCTAAAGCCTTATGAGGTGCCTTTTTACCTAATTGAGGAGAAAAACTTCTGGGCTTTTTTCCTTTTTAAAGAGACAAAAGATAATTTAGTAACTCCATCAACAGAGGGCACATTTCCACATGTCACTGGTTATAGACATGGGTTTAGCTGGTGACCTTGGCAAAGTTCTGGCATCCAACAGCTTCTGCTGTTGCCTTTGCATGAAGAGCTACCACTCAGCTCATCTGGAAGCTGGTACCTCCTCCCTTTATTTGATCCTCACCAGTTCCTAAACTGGAGGAGAGGATGTTGTTCCTTGTGAAGATGTAAAAAGTGTAATAAAGGACGATAGGAGACAAGGGTCATGGAGTGAAGGTTGTCCCAGCCAGGTGCATTTATCACTCAGCTGTGGCATCAGCTCTCTGCTCACAGAGAAACACACAACTTCCCAGGCATTGTCATGGGCAAGGCTGTGAGAGTATCAGAGAAAAGAGTGAGAAACAATTCTTATCTTCACCTGCTGCACATGGAATGTGTTATGGAGATGGTTTACCAAGGGTGGTTTCTTAATTAGCCACTGGTGATGGTGTTTTAACTAAAGGACCAGTGAGGTCCACGTGAACTAGGGTATAAAAGAGCAATGGGTTTCTTAATAAAGAATATAATCAGCCTTCTCTAATATATGGAGTCTGTTATTGCCCAGCCAGGGCTGTGACACTCAGCCAAAACTACTTTGTTATTTTTGGGGACACTTCTTAATGCTTTTCTTATTCCATCAGCTTGTTGTATATTCATACACTCTTATGCATAGTAAACTTTTTTCCTAAACTAGTTTATTTATTCTAAGAATTGTTCAGTGTGTTTCTTTTTTGAGTCTGTTTTTTTAGAGTATGCATGAGTATGGTTTTAGTTTATCACCTCTAATTTTTGGACCTTGGTCTACACTGTCTTCAGACAGCAAGTACTGATAGTTGGCAGATTTGTATTAGGTGTCTTTTTAAAATGTTCACTGGATGTTAATTTATCTAAGTAGGTATTTTAATACAAGTATAGCTATTTTACTACTATGTTTAAGCTTAACAACAGAAATAAAAACTATACCTTTATAACAAAGTTACTTTAACATTATACACATAGAATCCATTTAAATATTTGCAAAAAGGCAATATTTTAATATTTTAAAGCCAATAATTTAATTTCACCTGTATCTGTAACACAGAGGAAGAAATGTTCAGCTGTGCCATGCAGGGAGCATGAGGAAAGCTCAGCCCTGCCGACCCCCAGGGATGTGTGTGACACCCCAAGGGATGTGTGTGACCCACAGGGGTGGATGTGTGTGATGCCTTAGGATTTTGGCTTTTATATTTTTCGTGTATTTGTAATCCTGCAGTTCTTTGGTGTAGAACCCCATATCCAGTGTCAGCTGCTGTTCTCCCATTTTGTCAGACAAACCATTTCTCTCCAGGCCTGACAGTCAAGCACACCTCACTGCCTCAGGCCCTGAGAGATGGAAACAAAAGGGAGTTAGGGGGAGCAAATTTGGGGTAAATGACTTAATTAGCTGAAGCTGGAATTTGAACAGATTAACCCCCAATACATAAATTGACCGAACTTATAAAAGTGTGAAACCTGTGACCAGTGGTCCATTTTGGGTGTAGCCCCTGGGGGGCTTTGTTTGCCCTAAATGTACCTGAAGGCCCTTCAATAAATAGAATTGCTTTTTATTATCTCAATTTTGTCTGGCTTCTGGTTTTAGTAGCCCAAAAAGGGATTGTGTGTGACACCCACAGGGGTGGATGTGTGTGACACCCTCAGGGGTGGATGTGTGTGACCCAGAGTTAGGATTTGGGGTGGGAGAAGTTTGTGAAGAACAGAAAATCAACAAGAGCTGGGGAGGCTCCCCCGGGGTGCTCCAGGGGCAGAGGTTTGGGAGCAGCTTGGAGTCAGCATCCCCAGCCCTGTGTGTCCTGTCTGGCTCAGGGGAACCCTCCTGGATCCCCATCACAGCATCCTCCTGGCTGGAACTCCCAGAGCCTCTGGAAGATGAATCAGAGCTTTGTTTTCAGTCTCCAGAGAAGTGAAATCACAGCTACTTGGATAGAGGAGAGGCAGAAATTAAAGGGGGGAAAATGTCAAATAAAAATATCTGAGCGTGTGTCACAAAGGGCAGGACCAGAACAATTGCTGGCTGACATTTCTGCTGCGCAGAAAATTAAAGCAATTTCTTCATTATTTTTTACTTTGCTGTGGCAATTCTGAGATAAAACAGCTTTCCAAGGAAACCTAGAAACTGCCAGTGCTGCTCCAAGCTTTACAATCTTTGCATGTTGCACTTGTCTGGTGCCATATGTATGGAAATCTGTCTCAGCAGCAATCTGCATATCTCATCTGAAGGGTTTCTTGTTTAGGTCTCACTTATATTTAGCAGAATCTGAGAGGAATGGCTGTTTGCAGCTCTGCCCAGCCAACGTGGCTGAGGAAAGATGCAAGGCAGGCAGCATTTTTACAGCAGTTATTTGCAGCATTAAAATAAAGGATGTATTTTCTAGGGACACGCTTGGGGTCGGTGCTTTTGGCTGGGATGGAGGAGGTTTTTAAAAAAGCCACTGAATTGTGGTTGGGAATGGTGAGAGCCCTTAATAGACACAGGATGATGTTTGCCAGGGTGGGTTCTGTGCCCAGAGAAATAAATTATATTGCTGACAGCAGTCTGAGGAGAGGGAGAGCCTCCTTCTGCAACATCCCTGGGAATGTCACTGCCATGGGATAACAGCTCCTCCAAGGAAAAATCTTCCTGGAGGAGCCTAACAACCCACAGCTGGAGGATCGTGCCA